GAAGAGTACTCCATAACTGATAATAGTGTGCCAAACCAGTAGCACGGAAGCGGACTGCCAAGAAATCCCACGCTGCCTTGACAGTTTCAAATTGGGCAAGCTGCACATGTATCGCCGGAGTGGAAATATTGCGCAACCAAGTGAGAATTTGATGGTTCTTATTGTTCCAATCCTCCAATTTTTCAATATAAGATCCAACAACTTTGGCGGTAGGTGCAACTTCTCCTATAGAAACTGGAGCAACGGGAGCAACTATATCCTACCTATCATAAAGCTTTTTATCGATTGTGCCCACAAACGGTAATTATCTCCAGACAGAACAACATTTATCAGAATATGGACATCCATCTTTTCCATAAAAATTCAAAGGTAGACAATATCTCAAACCTCAAGCCGAAAGCCGAAACGACAGAAACACAAGCAAAACCGAATCAAACCCGAAACACGAAAAATCAGACGGATACAAAAAACTACTCAAACGGAAGAAGTGAGTATACCATCGCGGAGGAAATTAAATTCCGAACACGACGGTGCAAAGATCGCCACCAACGGCCGCCGCACGCGCCTCCACGCGCCGGCGAGGCGTTCGACCGGAAATCTCGTCAGGCGCGTGTGAGGCTCACGTGCCGCCGTTCGCCGATCTGTTCCGGAGTCCGGCCGGTCTCGTGGCAGCGAAGACGATGGTGGTGGCGGTGACGGTCGGCGGTAGTTGGAAAGATGCGATCTGGAATGCATGGGTTGTTTCGATTTGATCGGGAAAAATCATGGCTCTGATACCATGTTAGGATTAATGGAATAAATTATATTTTCATTGTTTACAATTATGGTACAAAATTATATTTATACAAGAGATATATTAGGCCGGATATATATATCTAAATATATACAATATATATCAACATATATTATATTATACAATCATTTTCATTCAAAATTTTTAATATTAAAATTCCAAATAAAAAAATAATACTCCCTCCGTCCCAGATACCGTGTCTGCTATACTGTAGACATGGTATTTTAGGATGGGTGTAATTAGTAGATAATTAAGAATGTATTAGTGAAAATAATTATCCTATAATATAAATAATTATAAATTAAGATTAAGATAACTAATTAGTTTAATTAAAATTTTAAAATAAGATTAAAGTGTGTAATCATTTTTCAAAAAAGGAAAGTGACATGGTATATGGGACGGACAGAAACGGCAACGTGAACATGGTATTTGGTGCGGATGAAGTAATAAATAAAGCACATGTAAAACACAACTAAAATACTTAAACCGTACAAAACCTAACTATGAATGTGGGACCCAAAAACTAAAAAAATATATATATAATGAAAATAAAAAATATATATATACGTGGGATACGCTTTGAACAATATAATTTGCTAGTAGTAATAATAATAATAATAATAATAATAATAAAGAATAAGAATAATAATAGTCCAACCCCCAAAACTGACTGATGACATTATCAATATACAGACCGCCCGGTCTTGAATTTTGGAGAGCCAAACGAAATAAAATAAAATGTAGGATCATATTCTCCTCGCACTTCATAAATCTCAAATAATTTTTTTTTTTATAAATATTTTATATATAACATAAATATATTAAGAATCTCTATTTATATTGAATCTTGGTGAACATATTAATTTAGTTTTTCATATACTTTTTTTATTCTTCAATTTTTATATATCCTATAATATTAAAAATTATATTTTTATTCAAAACAATATATTATACATATACAATATTACATTTAAGGCGTTACTTTATCTGACCATAACAAAATCTTCAGGAAAAAAAAAACACGCACACATACCCACATAAAAGAATGCTATTATATGGTGAATAAATAAAATAGTGCCTTAATAAAATAACATAATGTTTTATATTAATTAAAATGATATAATAAATATTTTGTTGATTTATCGCATAATAATTTTTATTGGCTTTATAAATATGTAATTTTTTGGAGTTTGGTTTTATTGTTATTTTTTAAAAAATTTTAGCTTGAACGATTATTTAAATAATATTTTGTAGATATATATATATATTATTATATAAAATCTTAATAATTGTTAAAAAAAAAAAAAAAGTTTTGATTGATTTTGATTTAAAATTAAAATTTTTTTTATTAGAATTTTGATTTTAAATAATATTTTTACACGATGATTTATAGGGAAAAATATATATGTTTTTTTATTTCTATAAAAGAAATAGTATAGAAAATTCATTCATATTTGAAACAGCATGCGAACCCAACCTAACTTGAGAAGAACAACCCAAATCCATTCATGATTGTTGTTATACTTTGAAACTTCAATGATGTAATTTCATTAGCATTGACCGGACTGGTCTTGTTCTTCTATTTTTACAAGTCTTATTCTTGGAAATTGTAAATTAGAATTTCAATAATAAAGAAGAATCCAATCCCATCCCATCCCATCCCATCCTATAATTGTAATTGTAGTAATTACTATTTGTTATTTGATTTAATTAAATTTCATATAGAGACGTCCCGTCCCAGTGAGTGACCTATATCAAATGTCCATCAAAATAAATGTGTTGTTAAATTAAAGGAGTCGGACCCGGTCAACTCTCGCAGCCTTTATCACAACCTTTCAAGAAATTTTGATATTTTTTAGGTTTGTAATAAATTTTCGTAAGGCTACTATGCCCTTGATCACGATTCGAGTCCCAACAGTAATCCATAAATTATGTCTATGGTCGGATCTGGACGACTTGGGCAGTAGACGGTTTTGCTGAATTTGAAAAAATTAAACCAAAATCTACTAAAATTCAAATTAAACACACTGAAATTTAAAAATTAACAGAGAAATAAATTACTGAAAAGATACATGCATAGCGTTAGAAATTAAACCGAAACTAAAATATATTAATGATAAGTAATTACTAAAAAGATAAAAGGATAAGATAATTATTTGGATAATATGTTTTGTTTGTGTAACGTGTAGTTTTAGCATCCTTACAAATAAAGAGTTATATCCACTTTCTAAATTTTAGGAAAATAGTTAATGTTCTTTGTTCCACCGTAATCATGGCTTCTAATTCTTTTTCTCATGTTTTGTTTTAATCGATTCAATTGGATCATATCAATTCTTTCTTTTTTTCTTAACTTGAAGGCAATATGAGGCCATTTTTTCCCTAGCATTAAGGCCAAATCTATATGGCATTATTCATTATTCTCCGATTAGGCAGCTTAAGGAAGGTTGCTCCTCCGGATTCAAAGAAAGGTTCTGATTGCACTGCACTATCAAGTCTCCGCCTCGACCATTCATCTCCAAAGAGGTTTCACTAACACCACGATCCTCTTTAGTGCTAGCGGACGTGCTGGTTAAAGTTTCCATTGAAACAGTCTTTCAAGATCGACCTGTATTTGGATCAGAAGCCATACTGGTTGGCTTTGAGTCTCCAATCAACCGCACGTGAAGTCTTCGCAAGTTGATGTCCTCAGTAGGTTTTGATTTTGGAAATTTTTCTCAATCCAGGTCTTTGAAGTATCTAGGATTGTCTTCCAAGATAGCCTAGCCTGCCTCACTTGGAGGCCTCAAGTCTTTTGCGGGATGACCTGCCAGCTGCCTCACCTATCAATCTGAAGCCTTCAACGGAATAACCTGCTTCACTTGGCAGTTTGAAGTCTTCAACGGGACGGTCTGCCTCATATAGCAACCTGAAGCCTTTTGCCGGACGACTTGAATACTTCAGCGGGACGGCCTGGCGGCCTGAAACCTGCTTGCCTCATCTGGAGGCCTGAAGCATCAACAAATGTCAAATCCTCATGTGGTGTCAGTACATTTCACATAAGTTGTCCGCCGAATTGCTCTGTCGGGATTGTGCCAAAAGTTGAAAATTCACCTCCCTTAGTAGAGGCTCGACATTATTCTCCAAGCCTCATGCGGCCGGGGGGCCTAATCCTATCTACCCTCCTGGCATTCTTGGTAGAATCGAGACCCAACTATACCACAATAGCCCCGGCCTGAATCTAAAGGAGATTCTGCTACAATTCCATAGATTGTTCCAGCGATATAATCTTCGTCTGATGGCGAATTGCTACAAGCATGAAAGAATCCTCTTGACACACACGACGTGACCTTCACTACAAATAAACCCTATGTAAGCCCTAACATCATCACTCATAAAATCGGATTAGATGTGCCAATTGTTGGAATCGAAAATACATTTTTGTGAGACTCCAAGCCTTTTTCATTGATGCACCACCCTTGATCAAACAATGTGAATTCCAACAGTACTCTGCAATACCTGTCTGCGGTCAGATACGGACAGCTTTGGCGGTAGAGCCTTTACACAGCTTTGAACTGTAACGGCTGAATTTGAAGAAGATTGACTAAAGACTATTAGAATTAGGATAAAACATGATGAAAATTAAAGATAAATGGATAAATTATTGAAATTAAAGATAAATTAATGGAAATATAAAGATACAAATATAAATTAAACCTAGAAACTAAGGATAAATTATTAAAAAAATACTCTATATCCTGTCTATGTTTTTTTCTATTTGGATTCCTCTCATATAATTTAATTTTTTTGTTTTCGGAAATATGATTATACACTTTAATTAAATTTTAAATTTTATAATTTATATTTTTATTAATACAATATTGAATTACTTGCTAATTATATTTTATTTAATTTCTTGTATTTACGATAATGTGGACAAAAAAAACTTGAACGAAGGAATAAATGATAAGTGTTTGGATAATATGTCTAACGTGTGTATGTTTAGCCCCAACTTCCTAAATTTTAGGGAGATAATTATTCCAACAATACTCTGATCAAGTTGTTTGTTCCACCATAATTGTGGCCTTTGGTATGTCCCATCATATTTTGTGCTAGTTGATTCCTTTTATCATGTCAACACTCTTCTTAGGCCCAAAGGCCCGTTGGTGGAGATAAGAGGCTCTGGTCCATCTGTGAAGTCTCGCATGAACCAATGAATTTCATTTTCTTTTTATACACCCACCAATTAAAGAAAGAATCCTTTAATTTGGTAATGCTGATAATAAAGAGATATTATGAACAAATTATGTACGCAGTATTATGTATACATACATGTGTAAGAAAATCAAGCAAGCAAGCTAGCTGGGGAATGAACGAAGGGAAGGGAAGGGAATGGAATGTACACAAAACCTTAAGAAGGCCGGCCATGATTTGGCAAACACCACACGCTTCAAAACTCAGCCTTCACTTTACACTCTATAGAACAGGACAGGACAGGGAGCCATTCATTGCCCTCCTCCTCCTCCTCCTTACTTGGTTACTTGAGCCAGCCAAGGATGCTGCAGCGCCTCCTTGGCAGTCGGGCGTCGCTCCGGATTCGTCTCAAGCAAGTACTTCAAGAAATCGATGAGACCGGGGTCAGATACCCCTACCCCTAGCTGATGCTCCAACGAGGACTGCTCCGGGACAATGTACTCAACCTCCTCCATCCCCTGCCACAACAAACACGCCCGATGATCTCTCAAGCCTGAACAAGGACAGGTGTGGGTGTGGGTGGGGGTGGGGGTGCCGGCCAAACTGAATCTTACCTCGGTTATGTGATAAAGATCATACTCCTCTGTGAAATACTTGTCCGTCTCTTGGCCATGGAGCAGCATGTCCCGGTCGATGGGTCCGAGGATCCCTATGATGCGCGCAAGAATCATCACCACTGCTTCGTTCGGGAAAAGCACCTGCTATCATTTCATCGATCCACAACACAGCACAAGTTCGAATCATCATGTCATGTGCGTGAGAATGAATTGAATTCCACTCATTAATACTACAATTCAAGGAAAGTCTTATATACTACCTCTCCGGAGCACAATTCTGCCAGGATGCACCCCAAGGACCAAATGTCAATTTTCGGGTCATACGGAAGGCCTAACATAACCTCAGGAGCCCGGTAGGAACGCGACTGCACGTACAGTGTTAAGCTGTCTGTCTGAAAACAACTGCTGCCAAGATCAATCACCTTTATCTCGCACTTCCGGTAACTCTTGATGAGGATGTTTTCCGGCTTCAGATCGCAGTGGATGATTCCCAGGTCATGCAGATACATCAGCGCCTCCAAACACTGCCGCGCTATGACCTGAAATTGGCACAGACAGCCTTAAATACTTCATCCCTGCACTTTAAATTTCCTATGCTTCCCTAGCGGACGTGTGCTGCAAGAAAAAATCTTTTTGTCCCCACAGACCTGCAGCCGGCTAATCGTGAAGTACGGCTCCCCTCCAGATTCCCGGTTGTATTTCTCAAATTCATACAAGTTTGCCCGCAGCAGCTCGGTCACAATAAACAGGTGCTCCTGCAGTGGTTTATGTCTCTCAACAAGATACCTCAATCAAAATGTAACCAATGCTCGATGATGTTTCAACATACAGCCTAGCCTACACACGATTTATTTGAACACGACAAATATCAAGGATCAACGAGACTTAACATGAATGCATCCCCAACGACACCAACCTTTTTGTTTAGGCATACCTGGTAGTAGAAGTAATCATAAAGTCGCAGAATGTGGTACTTGTCGACAGGATCGTGCTTGTTTACGAATTTAAGAAGCTTAATCTCATCCAGGCTCTGGTCGAAGAAGTCCTTGTCGTTCTTTATGATCTTCAGGCATACGTCCTGTCCCGCGCAGAGATCGTGTGCCTGAACGACCTTGCTGAAAGCAGCAGACCCGAGGAATTCCGTGACATAATATCTCCCAGCCACAATGCTATTCATCACGATCGGGAACTCTTTGTTCTCCTCAAAACCCGTTCGATTCTTCCTATGTATGATTCTCAGGTGGAAGATCTCGTAGCCTTCGTCCTTGGCGTCGTATATCGAAAGCTCATCAATGACACTGCTACCTTCCTTGTTTCCCGGCTCATTGGGTTCTTGGGGAATCACTTCATCGTTCTTGCTGGAAGGATCATCTTTGTCGACACTTTGGGAGCCAAGGGTATCTTCGAAACCTCCCTGCCAATCATATGTACAATTGGTTCCGGCGAAGAGGTTGTCACCCAATTTCTGAGTCTCGAAATCAAAGACCACAGGATCGTCCGCATAGACCCTTCCGGTGCTGCCACAGCACGCACACAGCGGATCCAAACAGCTATAACCGATACGGTGGTCCCGGCACTCGTCGTCGCCGCCGCCGCCTTTTGTGAGCTGAGACTGATGGTCCCACTTGGGGTAATCTTCCAAGGTCTTGCCTGTCGAGTTTCCCCTTGAAGCCCCCGCCCCCTTTTGCACGCCGGTGATGTGCTTATCTTCGCTCGGGAAACCATCGGTATCACCGACGGCGGCGCTGAACGGGGGCAGCATTGAGTAATAGTCGGCGTCGTTCTCCTTGTACCAGAAAAGATCATTCTGCATATCGAAATCAGGGTAGTCCCGAGCTGTCCCGAACTGAGACATCCGATCCGATGATGAAGCCTGAGACATTGGACGAGATGTCCGAACGCCATACGGGTTTGTAAAATCTGCAATGATAAATAAATTCAATTCAACCACACTACACACACACTCTTTGTTCAAACCACATAGGATAGGAGCAACTCATTAAACTGAGCACATTCGAAATTGATGCGGAACAGGAGAATCAGACGGGCTTCTTTCAAAGCTTGATGATTCCTATTTCCTATGTGGTCTTCCACTGGTCATATATAAATTATCGATGGATTCATATTGAAGGAAGGATTCATCAGTTTTCTACAGACCCAGAAGAAACATGGCAGCACCTTGTAGAATCTAATAAGCACTAAATTGACCAAATCAAGAACGAATCCTAGAACGCCAAAGGCAAAATCCAAAAAAATAAATTAATACACCATTAAATGGAACAAACCAAACAACCTCCTTGCAACATACATCAAAAGAGGAAGAAGTTAAATCAAATTAATTACCAGAAGAGCACAAATCAGTAGTGGATGAGCCCAGGCTAACAAACTCATCTTCCGACGAGTTCTTGGAGCTCTCGCCGCCGGCATCCGGAACCTCCCGCGGCGGAATTCTGAGCGGCGGCGGTGGCGGCGCCATGGGGGAGAGGAACTTGTCGGAATCGGAAGAACCGAGGGGAGAGTTATCCCTGACATCCTCCATGAGCGCTGACTCGCACTCGGAGAGGCCGTTGATCCTGAGGAAGTGCAAGACAGAGGCGAGCTCGACGGCGGCCATCTTAGTCGGAGGCGGCGAATTCAGGTGAGAGGCGGAGGGGGGAGAGCGGAGGAGGGACTCGGTCTCATGGATGATGGGTTGGGTGGGTTGGGCTGGGGTCAAACTCAAATGTGGGAAGAAATTCAAACTGGTCCAGTCACAAACGTTGGTTGTCCTTTTTAATCATATAAAATATACGTACATACGATACCGTATGTGAATACATGTATGTTACGAATGTGCTTTGGTTTGTGTGAATATCAAAAACATATGTAAAACAAAGAAAAAAGAATTAATCCTAAGTGTAACAGGTGACTGTTCGGATCTGAACTCAGGTGACAGTTCACCCCACACACACCAGATCATTTTTTCTTTTGATCATACAAATACAGAGAGAATTTTCAAAATTAGTTTTTCATGTATTTTTATGCTATAATATATTACTCATTCTACTCCACATAAAATGCTATCTTTTTATATTTACGATCATTCCACCCACGTAATTGTACATTCTTTTGTAAATATAATTATATATTTTAACACATTATAAATTTTAAAATATATAATTTTTTAATCTTAATAAAACTATTTAATTATCTTCATTTTAATTTGTAATTATTTGTATTAATATACTTCTTAATTATTAATTACTCCCTCAGTCCCAAAATTACGTTCTTATTTGAGTTTGACACGAGATTTAAGGAATATTGATATTATATTCATAATTAGTAAAAAGTATGAATAAAAGATTTTTTTGTCTTGTGAATGTATTAGTATAAAAAATAGTGGTATTTATATAATAATAATGAAAAAATAAGGATAATTTTACGGTGATATGAGTATTTATAGAAATTGGACTATTGTTTTGAGACAGACAAAAATAATAAACAAGACTATTGAACAACGAAGGGAATATATTTTACCTAAAATTTCATGTCTCGTGGACACTTTTAAACTTGTGTACGACAGAGAAAGTATATTTTATTAATAATATATAATCATTTAATTTATAAAAATATTATTTATATTAAAAAAAAAAAAAACAACCCTAAACTCTAAACGAAATCCTTTTTTTTTTCCTCTTTGGTGGATCTCCTTCTCCTTCCCTGTCTCTTGTCCTTCATCATTTATTCTTCAAATAACTTTGGGGGTTTGTTTCTTTTTCAAATTTTTTTTTAACATATACTGTAAATACTTATTATTTTTATATTATCTATTCAATTTTATATATTTTTTATAAATTGAAAAATTATTCAAATTAAAAAACAAAAGAGGCGTCGGCTACAGTGTTGAATTTAAAATTTAAAATTCAGCACTGTGTTGAACAACATGTGATATTACTACATACAACACATTGTATATGTTAATATAATACAAATACATCATATGAACAAATAATACATATTATAGTCTCAATAACACATCGTGTACTATCAGACAACAAACAGTATTAGTATTATTACAGATAGTACATTGTATATGTTAATATAATACAAATACAACACATGAACTAACAACACATATTATAGTCTAATACAACCACACAACAGTTCATTTCAACGCATGGCATATTCTCATACAACAAATTTTTTATTATAAAAAAACAACACATACATTTATTATGTACAATATGTATTGTATGTAATAATAATGTGTATTATTTGTACATATAACATGTGCTGAGTTGAACAATTAACCCCACAAAACAAATACAACATGGGTTATTCTAACTTATTCTTCAAACTCATTTACGGATTCCAATTTTTGAATTTGAATGTGTATTTTGGCTAAATTTTAATTCTAATTTTCTATTGATTTATGTGTATTGTGTGATAAATTTGTTGTTAGTCAATATTAGCTTTATTTTATAAATTAATGTTGGATAATTTGTATTGATTAATTTATTTAATTTTTTGTTATGTTTGTATATATAGATAAATTTGATATTAAATCAAATAAGACGATTTCGTTTGCAATGAAGTATATTATTGTCCAACATCAAATAATGTGATTGGTAATCAAAATTTTACTTATGACAAAAAATGTGCTAAAAGAAGTCATGTATAAATAAAAATATCAAAAAGGATAATGTTGTTGGTGATTCAAAATTATGTAAACCAATTGATAAAATATTATATTGATATTAGAGATGAATTAATAAGACAACATTTGGCCAAAATGCGTGTCAACTATATGATCATAATTTTTCAAAAAAATTCATTTGGTAAAACTAAAAGCTTCAATCAATATAGTTTGATCAATATAGGTAACTTCATTATAATTAGTGTACAATCTTGATAAAAATAATATTTTTACTTAAGTTGATTTTTAAATTTATTTGTCAATTTTAATAAAGTTTATGCTCGACTTTCAATCGTCTATCTTGGATCCTTTTAGAACTCTACTTCCGACTGTAATCGCATTGAGATATCTGTTCAACTATGAATGACTGTTCAATTTTAGTTGCATTACCTTCAATTTATTTTGTAAATTAAAGTTGTTTCTACTCATTAAATTTGAAAAATATAGATATTTTAAAATATATTTTAGATTTTTATTTATGATTTAAATTATGTTTCTATTATTTGAATATATACCAACTTCTAGTTTTATTATTAATAAATGTGTAATTTTGAAATTGTAAAGAGTATGATATTTTTTCAAAAAAATTCAAATTATATATATTTATAACGTGGGATCCTGCTATCGTTCTTTTTCAGTTGCGCTTTGAGTAAACTTTCAGTTGCGAATCATGTGTGGCATGCAAGATTTGAAGGCGTGGGTTTAAACTTATAACTTCATGCTTACGAATCCAACCCCCGCTACGAGACCAATGTTTTGCTCCATTTTATTTATTTCTAAAAATATCTCATTCAATGTCATTAAAATAAATAAATAAATAAAATTGTCATATATAATTCTTATTTTACTTAAGGTACGATAAGATTAAAAAATAAAAACATGAATAAATAAATAAAGTCGAAAAGAGAAAATAAATGAAGTAGACTAATTTGCAAGACAATGCAAGTTAAAGAATGCGGAATATATGATATATATATATGTGTTTGTGCAGTGGTCCATTATATGTAAAACGAACTTTTTTAATAATTAGATTTGGTGAAAGGTTAGGTCAGATCAATCAAAACATTATTCAATCTTCAAACCCTTTTTCAGTATTACCATTAATAATCATTATCATTATCATCAAACCCCACACCAAATTAAATCATAATTTTGCTTCAATTTCAATCTATTTAACCAACCTTGTTTGTTTTTATTTTGTTCTTTTTAAATGAACATATAATACACATAACAATTAACATTATTTATAATGATCGATGTCGAACCAAGTAAAACATTTTTATATTTAAACTCAATTTGCATTCGCTTCAATATATATATAGAAAATAGACTGAAAATAATGCAACCATTTTAGATAATTAGCAACCACAAACGGATTAGAGTAATAGTTAATCAAAATTAACATTAAAAATAATACAAATAAATAAATAAGTAGTAGATTCAACAAAAAAAAAAAAAAAAAAACAAAAAAAAAAACAAAAAAAAAAACTATTAATAGCAACTCCTCATTTCTTTCACTCTCCATAGCATTGTTCTTTCGTATTGATGGTGATGAGAACAATTAACCAAAAAGATCAATCAACAGTAACTTGGGCTTCCTCATCATCATTTGCTTATTCTCTTCTATCCGATCAAATCTTTGAGTCGTTTGTCAAAATCAAGTTTTAACAATTAATTTGTTCTCTTTTATTTATTTATTTATTTTTAACATATTACTTTCAATCGATTCATAGATCTGTATGCTACCAAGTAAAACATTTTTATATTTAAACTCAATTTGCATTCGCTTCAATATATATATAGGAAATAGACTGAAAATAATGCAACCATTTTAGATAATTAGCAACCACAAACGGATTAGAGTAATAGTTAATCAAAATTAACATTAAAAATAATACAAATAAATAAATAAGTAGTAGATTCAACAAAAAAAAAAAAAAAACAAAAAAAAAAACTATTAATAGCAACTCCTCATTTCTTTCACTCTCCATAGCATTGTTCTTTCGTATTGATGGTGATGAGAACAATTAACCAAAAAGATCAATCAACAGTAACTTGGGCTTCCTCATCATCATTTGCTTATTCTCTTCTATCCGATCAAATCTTTGAGTCGTTTGTCAAAATCAAGTTTTAACAATTAATTTGTTCTCTTTTATTTATTTATTTATTTTTAACATATTACTTTCAATCGATTCATAGATCTGTATGCTACCAAGTTTATGAATCATAGATCTTGAACTTAGAATTTATTTCATGATAAAATTTCAACAAATATCATATCCAATGACTATTTTACCTTAAAAATATTAAAATTCAAAATATATGTAAATGTATGTAACAACACCAAATATTTTGGACAAAATATGTTATATAATATAAAGCTATATATATACTAGTTTCGTAGGCCACGTCCTGTAGATTTGGGAATCATATCGAGATTGTATATTATTCCAAAATGTATTAGTATTATTTGCATGAACAATTAAATTTACATATTTTTCTCTTTTACTATTTTAATCATACATTAATATAAAATATAAAAAAAAAGCAACTGGAGTGAAAACTCAAATGGATTAATTATGTTTATTTTATAAATTACTTCAATAATACGTTATTGATAAACATAGTCTTCCGCATAGAAAAAAAAAATTTTAAAAAATCTTCAGAACTGTAAATAATTAATCAAGAGATGTTTTAAATCATAAAAATCGAATAATTTAATTTTTGAATTATTAACCATCAATGATTAATTTCAATTTTTTGTTTGAATAACAGTACACACTCTATCATCATCATCATCATTATTATTATTATTATTATTATTATTATTATTATTATTATCATTATTGCGAAAAATAAACGAAATGGACTTCCTCATATCTATTATCTCTTATTTCCATTTTGTAGAATAGTGAAGAAAATAACTGCAGGCAAGGTTGTGTAGTAGCTTTAGGGTAGATACAAATAATACCTAGGGGTAACACAATACGGTATATTGAAGATTTTAAATTGTACTATATATAGTATTGTAAACAATAATATGAGAAGAT